AGGGTGTACAGCCTATTCTAGGAATCAGTGCATGTGAAAAGCTCAATTTGGTGAAAAGAGTGTATGTAGTGACATCACAGACTGAAAATGACCAAAAATCACTACTGGCTGAGTACGAGGACGTGTTTGAGGGTCTCAGATGTTTACCTGGAGAACACAAAATATGTACTGATGACAAAATTACTCCAGCTGTGCAGAAAAGTTATATTTGCACTGAGGAAAAAGCTAAAGGAGGAACTCGGACGCATGGAAAAGATGGACATCATCACAAAAATGGATGAACCTACAGATTGGGTAAGCTCACTGGTTGTTGTAGTGAAAAAGAAAGGCGATCTCAGGATATGTCTAGACCCGAGAGATCTCAACAAAGCTATCAAGCGAGAGCATTTCAAGTTGCCAACCAGAGAAGAGATAATGTCACAGTTTGCTGGAGCAAAGTGGTTCAGTAAGCTTGATGCCTCATCAGGATTCTGGCAAATTAAGCTAGATGATGCAAGCTCAAGGCTATTCACATTCAGCACACCTGAGGGCAGGTATAGATTTATTTGTCTACCATATGGGATTCTCTCAGCACCAGAGGTCTACCACAAGACAATTCACATGATCTTCAAGCACATTCCAGGAGTAGAGACCATGATGGACGACATCGTCTAGGGGTCCACAAAAGAAGAACACGACGCGCGAGTGAGACAAGTGCTGGACCTGACACGGAAAGTCAACCTGAAACTAAACAAGGACAAATGCGAGTTTGGTGTGAAAACACTTACCTTCGTGGGAGACGTACTTTCAGAGGATGGAGTCAAACCAGACCAGAGGAAAACATCAGCCATCAACAACATGGAGCGCCCGAAGAATAAGGACGACGTGAGACGCTTCATGGGCATGAACACCTACAGTGAGGGAAAAAAGTATTTGATCCCCTGCTGATTTTGTACGTTTGCCCACTGACAAATAAATTATCAGTCTATAATTTTAATGGTAGGTTTATTTGAACAGTGAGAGACAGAATAACAACAACAAAAATCCAGAAGAACGCATGTCAAAAATGTTATAAATTGATTTGCATTTTAATGAGGGAAATAAGTATTTGACCCCTCTGCAAAACATGACTTAGTACTTGGTGGCAAAACCCTTGTTGGCAATCACAGAGGTCAGACGTTTCTTGTAGTTGGCCACCAGGTTTGCACACATCTCAGGAGGGATTTTGTCCCACTCCTCTTTACAGATCTTCTCCAAGTCATTAAGGTTTCGAGGCTGACGTTTGGCAACTCTAACCTTCAGCTCCCTCCACAGATTTTCTATGGGATTAAGGTCTGGAGACTGGCTAGGCCACTCCAGGACCTTAATGTGCTTCTTCTTGAGCCACTCCTTTGTTGCCTTGGCCGTGTGTTTTGGGTCATTATCATGCTGGAATACCCATCCACGACTCATTTTCAATGCCCTGGCTGAGGGAAGGAGGTTCTCACCCAAGATTTGACGGTACATGGCCCCGTTCATCGTCCCTTTGATGCGGTGAAGTTCTCCTGTCCCCTTAGCAGAAAAACACCCCCAAAGCATAATGTTTCCACCTCCATGTTTGATGGTGGGGATGGTGTTCTTGGAATCATAGGCAGCATTCCTCCTCCTCCAAACATGGCGAGTTGAGTTGATGCCAAAGAGCTCCATTTTGGTCTCATCTGACCACAACACTTTCACCCAGTTCTCCTCTGAATCATTCAGATGTTCATTGGCAAACTTCAGACGGGCATGTATACGTGCTTTCTTGAGCAGGGGGACCTTGCGGGCTCTGCAGGATGTCAGTCCTTCACGGCGTAGTGTGTTACCAATTGTTTTCTTGGTGACTATGGTCCCAGCTGCCTTGAGATCATTGACTAGATCCTCCCGTGTAGTTCTGGGCTGATTCCTCACCGTTCTCATGATCATTGCAACTCCATGAGGTGAGATCTTGCATGGAGCCCCAGGCCGAGGGAGATTGACAGTTCTTTTGTGTTTCTTCCATTTGCGAATAATCGCACCAACTGTTGTCACCTTCTCACCAAGCTGCTTGCCGATGGTCTTGTAGCCCATTCCAGCCTTGTGTAGGTCTACAATCTTGTCCCTGACATCCTTGGAGAGCTCTTTGGTCTTGGCCATGGTGGAGAGTTTGGAATCTGATTGATTGATTGCTTCTGTGGACAGGTGTATTTTATACAGGGAACAAACTGAGATTAGGAGCACTCCCTTTAAGAGTGTGCTCCTAATCTCAGCTCGTTACCTGTATAAAAGACACCTGGGAGCCAGAAATCTTTCTGATTGAGAGGGGGTCAAATACTTATTTCCCTTATTAAAATGCAAATCAATTTATAACATTTTTGACATGCGTTTTTCTGGATTTTTTTGTTGTTATTCTGTCTCTCACTGTTCAAATAAACCTACCATTAAAATGATAGACAGATCATTTCTTTGTCAGTGGGCAAACGTACAAAATCAGCAGGGGATCAAATACTTTTTTCCCTCACTGTACCTTGCAAAGTTCATACCTCAACTGTCAGCACAGTCTGCTCCACTCAGATGTCTTCTGGAACAGAAAAACGAATGGGAATGGTCCCATGAGCAGGAAAACTGCTTCAAAAACCTAAAGAAGGCAATCACGAAAGAGCCAGTGCTCAGGTTCTATGATCCAGAGAAAAGCACAAGGATTTCTGCATATGCGTCACAGTTTGGCCTGGGAGCAGTTCTTCTGCAACAGCATGACAACATATGGCAACCTGTCGCTTATGCGTCCAGAGCCTTGACAGGCGCAGAAACAAGGTATGCACAAATAGAGAAATAACTACTGGCGAGCACATACGCATGCGAAAGGTTTCACCAATACGTCTACGGACAAGCCTTCCAAGTAGAAACCGACAACAAACCATTGGTGTCAATCATGTCTAAGCCAATGAATGATTGTCCAATGAGAATCCAGAGAATGTTGATCAGACTGCAAAAGTATGATGTGAAGATGATCTACACCCCGGGAAAGTTCATGACACTCTTTCTCGAGCAGTCGACAAGAAAGAGAGCGCCGACACACAGAAAAACACTGAGATTCAGGCCTACGTCGACATGATCGTAGCATCACTTCCTGTGTCTTCTGAGAGAATGGCGCAGATCAAAAGAGAGACCGCAGCTGACCAAACAATGACAGAGTTGAAAGAAACAATACTGATAGGATGGCCTGCACAGAAAAGCAACTGTCCAAGGAGAATACAGGATTACTGGATGTGCAGAGCAGAGCAGAGCTCACTGTTGTGGATGACATAGTGTTCAAAGGCAACAAGATTGTCATTCCCATGACACTACGCAAAGAAATGCTACAGAAAATACACGAGGGCCACTTGGGTGAGGAAAAATGCAAACGACGAGCACGAGAAGTAATGTACTGGCCAAGAATGAACCAATAAATTTGCAAGACCACTGCTTCATGTGAACTGTGTTTGACCTACAGGCCAAAGCAGCAAGCAGAACCGCTAATGCCTCATCCAGTACCCAACCGACCCTACTACAAAGTTGGAGTTTACCTTTTTGACTGCAATGGCAAAAGTCACATTGTTGTTACCAAATACTACTCAAACTACCATGAAGTAGCAACACTGCCAACTACCTCCAGCAAAGCTGTAATCACCTACCTGAAATTAGTCTTCGCAAGACATGGGGATGCGTCTGAACTGTACTCGGACAATGGCCCGCAGTTCTCAAGTTCTGAATTCCAATCATTCGCTAATGACTGGGGATTCCGACACAACACCTCCAGCCCCAACGACCCAAGGTCCAACGGCTTAGCAGAAAGTTCAGTCAAAATTGTCAAAGGTCTGATGAAAACGGCACTTCCTAAAAAGTCTGATCTACCGCAGCGCACCGCTGCAGAATGGACTTTCACCTGCACAAATGTTGATGGAATGTCGCATCAGAACCAACCTACCCATCCATGAGGACTTGCTAACACCCAAAGGTGCTCACAACGTCAAACTCGCGAAGGAAAAACAGAAAGACAAACAAAAACAGCGACACGACAAAAGTGCAAGACACTTACCTGAACTGAAACCTGGAGATCATGTACGACTCCTAGACATCACTACAGGAACCTGGATGCAGCAAGGTTGTGTGCAGAGAGAAGTTCCACCGCGATCCTATGAGATCCAAACAGAGCATGGATCACAACTGAGATGAAACAGAGTGGATCTAAGGCTTCAGCCATTCCCTCAAAGGACTGAGGATCATCAGGAGGATACTGCTGGAGTGTCAAATGCCTTTACCAATGGACAATTCAGTCAGAACACCCTGACTGACAATAAACGCTGTCCAACTGCTTCAGGAAGCACTTCAGCAGAACGACCAAAAAGGACTGTCAGAGCCCCTGAAAGGCTTATTGAGAATTGCTAAAAAATAAATAAATAAAAAACCTGGATTGGATGTTTTTGTTTATGTGAAAAGAAATAGAGCCACAATAGAGTATTGTTGGACAGACTGCATTTAGTTGAGAAAAAAAAAAGTAGAAAGAAATGTGAGTTATTGAAAACTGCATGTTATGCAGGTTGAGTAAACAAATGTGATGTGACAGAGAAAAAGTAGTTTATTTCAAAGGAAGGAAGATGTTTTGTAATGTGTTAATAACATGAAGACTACGTTACCCAGCAGGCTATGCGAGGGGGGAAGTTGAAGTATGCCTTGCATGGCTACACAAGGAGATTGCTAGCTAAAGTATCAGTTTATTAAAAGTAGTTCAACCTACGCCCCGGTTTGTCATTATTCAAAGGAACAAACATAACACAAACATAGTCAATGGTTTTGATTGAAACAAATGTAGGATTGATTAGATCGCATAGCCTACTATACCTTTGAATATGAATCCATTGCAGGAATATAGCTGAGTGCTGTATTCATGAGGTGTCAGCCTTGTCATAAGTCTGCTGTAGTTTGATTACTTATATCAAAGTCATATCAGCCATTATGTGTTTGGCTTCCAGGTCATAGGTGAAATGCAGCAGAAGGTATGTGCCAGGAGGACCTCTCTCTTCACTGAGAATGGGCAGGCTTGTGGGGCATCTGCTGACCCCCAGCTCCCATTCAGGTGCCCTCGGTGTGGGGAGCATGAGAGGTTCCGTAGTCTGGCCTCCTTGAGAGCCCACCTGGAATACAGCCACAGCTACTACCACACCATGCACGAGCTGAGCCTCCCGACCCGCAGCGGGCATTCTCACCCAGAGAGAGCCCTGCACGTGCGCTCCCTGAGTGACACACGAGAGGTCACTAGCTGCATAGAGAGGTGTCGTACGCATAGTGTGGGGATGCAGGCAGCTGAGGAAATAAAGACTGAGAATGAAGAGGAGGATGATGAGGAGGAGGAAGAGGCCAGTAAAGATGGTCTTAAAATCAACAAGTCCAGCCTTGGGACAGATCATATCCCTTCCCCCTTTCCATTTGACGAATCTCCAGACCCAGGCAGCGAGCCTGAGGGAGTGTTTCTAGAGCGGAATGTCTGTGCCGGGGAGGTGTCGGTCCGGCGCAGGCTGGCCAAGGTCCTACGGGCAGCGGACAGCACCATGCAGAGGAGGCTGCATAGGCTCAGCACGGAGCTGGCCCAGACGGACACAGAGCTGATGTGTGAGCGTGCCCACTCCCAGCACCTGGCCCAGGAGAGGCAGGCGGTACAGGAGAAGGAGATGGCGCTGAGCCGGCAGGTGGACGTGGCTGTGATTGTGATTGCCACGCTGAAGGAGCAGCTGAAGGAGTCAGAGTACGAGCTGGAGAGGAGAGAACAGTGAGTGTCTGAGCCAGTAACTCAGTCTTAACCTAAACCTTTCCTTACTGTATTCTAAGTCACAATCTTAACCATGAGGTCAAATGGCAGACAACAGTTACCAATACACTAATCTGGTAACTCTTTATATTGTTGCTGTTGCAAGTGGAGTAAGACTAATCATTGCAGTAGCAACATTCTTTAGTATGTTACTAGCTACTCCCCTCATTGTTCCCTTTATGCCCTCAATTTGTAGAGAAGTCATCACCATTCAGAATTTCCTGGAGGCTGCCGCCCAGCATGAGATATGTGGTAAAGTTCGGATTCAACGTTTCATTGAGAAGCTGCTCAAACGCATCACCTTGGCTGAGAGGCTACTGGAGTACTATCAGAGCTCCCCCAGTCCACCAAACTACACAGATGACATGGTACTGTACAATATCAAGCCTTTTCCCTACTGCTGACGGCAATGTGTTTACAATGGCAGATTCCTTTTCTGTGGTAGCTGCTCTTACTTTTTTGGTTTTATGCTTGTCATGCATGGCCATGGAAAGACTGTCAGGGAGAGAGTAGAGGATATTACATTTACATTTACGTCATTTAGCAGACGCTCTTATCCAGAGCGACTTACAAATTGGGTTGATATCATAATTGTTACACATTTGATCCATCATGAAAACTGTTAATCCTAATTGGCATCCCAGATTCAGAATCACCTTTATTTGCCAAAAACCTTTGCCTGTACAGGAATTTGACTCTGTGAAATGGTGCTGTCACAATAAACAGAATATACAGACAGCCTATTCAAATGGGGTTTCTTCCTCCCTCCCTACCAATCTAAAAAAGGGAAACATGATAGTTTACCAAACATTTCAGAACTGGATAATATCAGCTTTTGAGCTTGGGTGTAAACAGTAGAAATACCTGACATCCTTTTCCTCTCCCCTGCAGCACCAGACAGCTGAAAACAGACCTCATAGAATCACCAAAAGCAGGCAAGTTTGTGAACTAGATCTTTTACTGTTGATAGACAGTGGGGAGAACAAGTATTTGATACACTGCCGATTTTGCAGGTTTTCCTACTTACAAAGCATGTAGAGGTCTGTCATTTTTATCATAGGTACACTTCAACTGTGAGAGACGGAATCTAAAACAAAAATCCAGAAAATCACATTGTATGATTTTTAAGTAATTCATTTGCATTTTATTGCATGACATAAGTATTTGATACATCAGAAAAGCAGAACTTAATATTTGGTACAGAAACCTTTGTTTGCAATTACAGAGATCATACGTTTCCTGTAGGTCTTGACCAGGTTTGCACACACTGCAGCAGGGATTTTGGCCCACTCCTCCATACAGACCTTCTCCAGATCCTTCAGGTTTCGGGGCTGTCGCTGGGCAATACGGACTTTCAGCTCCCTCCAAAGATTTTCTATTGGGTTCAGCTCTGGAGACTGGCTAGGCCACTCCAGGACCTTGAGATGCTTCTTACGGAGCCACTCCTTAGTTGCCCTGGCTGTGTGTTTCGGGTCGTTGTCATGCTGGAAGACCCAGCCACGACCCATCTTCAATGCTCTTACTGAGGGAAGGAGGTTGTTGGCCAAGATCTCGCGATACATGGCCCCATCCATCCTCCCCTCAATACGGTGCAGTCGTCCTGTCCCCTTTGCAGAAAAACATCCCCAAAGAATGATGTTTCCACCTCCATGCTTCACGGTTGGGATGGTGTTCTTGGGGTTGTACTCATCCTTCTTCTTCCTCCAAACACGGCGAGTGGAGTTTAGACCAAAAAGCTATATTTTTGTCTCATCAGACCACATGACCTTCTCCCATTCCTCCTCTGGATCATCCAGATGGTCATTGGCAAACTTCAGACGGGCCTGGACATGCGCTGGCTTGAGCAGGGGGACCTTGCGTGCCCTGCAGGATTTTAATCTATGACGGCGTAGTGTGTTACTAATGGTTTTCTTTGAGACTGTGGTCCCAGCTCTCTTCAGGTCATTGACCAGGTCCTGCTGTGTAGTTCTGGGCTGATCCCTCACCTTCCTCATGATCATTGATGCCCCATGAGGTGAGATCTTGCATGGAGCCCCAGACCGAGGATGATTGACCGTCATCTTGAACTTCTTCAATTTTCTAATAATTGCGCCAACAGTTGTTGCCTTCTCACCAAGCTGCTTGCCTATTGTCCTGTAGCCCATCCCAGCCTTGTGCAGGTCTACAATTTTATCCCTGATGTCCTTACGTAGCTCTCTAGTCTTGGCCATTGTGGAGAGGTTGGAGTCTGTTTGATTGAGTGTGTGGACAGGTGTCTTTTATACAGGTAACGAGTTCAAACAGGTGCAGTTAATACAGGTAATGAGTGGAGAACAGGAGGGCTTCTTAAAGAAAAACGAACAGGTCTGTGAGAGCCGGAATTCTTACTGGTTGGTAGGTGATCAAATACTTATGTCATGCAATAAAATGCAAATTAATTACTTAAAAATCATACAATGTGATTTTCTGGATTTTTGTTTTAGATTCCGTCTCTCACAGTTGAAGTGTACCTATGATAAAAATTACAGACCTCTACATGCTTTGTAAGTAGGAAAACCTGCAAAATCGGCAGTGTATCAAATACTTGTTCTCCCCACTGTATGTTTTACGGTTTCCATAGTAGGCCCATGTGCTTTGGGCCCTGGTTTAGTGTCTCACTTTGATTATAATCCTACGTTTCTAGTTTCAAAGGTTAGTACATGGTTACATATAAATTATACACAGGGATCCCTTGTCGCCAATGAGATTTTGTGTCATCCTCATTCATTAGTAATGATTCTACACGTTAGACGTTTTATCTTCTCCGCTAATCCTGAGTCTGTCATTGTTGCCTGCTGTTGGTTGAAGCATTGGGTTTGTCTCTAACGTTGGTTGTGCTGTCCTCTGATTCTAGGTCAGCGGGTTGTCAGCTGTCACAGTCCTGTCCCCAGGAAGGTAGAACGCACCCTTCCCAGTTAGGACGGAAAGTGGGTCACTCTGGCTACTTCAGACCTGATCGCAGAGATGAAGTCTGGAGGCAGTGCAGCAGATCAGCTGGATTTGAGGACTAGGTAACCTGACCAGGGCCTGACAAATGAATGTATATATGATATGTATTTACTCAATGTATAGCTAATACTGAGCAGGGTTTCATCAATGGCTTTATGGCTATGTGTACGCTGGTCTTTGCTCCATTCTCAAATCGAATTTTATTTGTCACATGCTTCGTAAAGAACAGGTGTAGACTAACAGTGAAATGCTTACTTAGGGGCCCTTCCCAACAATACAGAGAGAAAGAAAGAGAAATAATAGAAAAAGAATAACACAAGGAATAAATACACACAATGAGTAACGATAACTTGTCTATATACACGGGGTACCAGTACTGAATAATGATAACTTGGCTATATACACAGGGTACCAGTACTGAATAATGATAACTTGTCTATATACACGGGGTACCAGTACTGAGTCCATGTGCAGGGGTACGAGGTAATTGAGGTATATATGTACATATAGGTATGGATAAAGTGACTACGCAACATGATAGATAATAAACGGTAGCAGAAGCGTATGTGATGAGCGCAAAAAGGGTCAATGCAGATAGTCCGGGTAGCTATTGGTTAACTATTTAACTAACTATTTAGCAGTCTTATGGTTTGGGGGTAGAAGCTGTTCAGGGTCCTGTTGGTTCCAGACTTGGTGCATCGGTACCGCTTGCCATGCGGTAGCAGAGAGAACAATCTGACTAGGGTGGCTGGAGTCTATGACAATTTTTAGGGCCTTTCTCTGACACCGCCTGGTATAGAGGTTCTGGATGGCAGGGAGGTCGGCCCCAGTGATGTACTGGGCTGTACGCACTACCCTCTGTATCGCTTTGTGGTCGGATGCCAAGCAGTTGCCATGCCAAGTGGTGATGCAGCCAGTCAAGATGCTCTCAATGGTGCAGCTGTATAACTTTCTGAGGGTCTGAGGGCCCATGCCCAAATCTTTTCAGCCTCCTGAGGGGGAAGAGGCGTTGTCTTGCCTTCTTCACGACTGTGTTGGTGTGTGTGGACCATGATAATTCCTAAGTGATGTGGACACCGAGGAACTTGAAGCTCTCGGCCTGCTAGGTTGTCTCATCGTCTTCGGTGATCAGGCCAACCACCGCCGTGTCGTCAGCAAACTTAATGATGGTGTTGGAATTGTGCATAGCCACGCAATCGTGGGTGAACAGGGAGTACAGGAGGGGACTAAGCATGCACCCCTTGAGTGGCCCCTGTATTGAGGGTCAGCATGGCAGATGTGTTGTTGCCTACCCTTACCACCTGGGGCGGCCCGTCAGGAAGTCCATCCAGTTGCAGAGGGAGGTGTTCAGTCCAAGGGTCCTGAGCTTAGTGATGAGCTTGGAGGGTTCTATGGTGTTGACCGCTGAGCTGTAGTCAGTGAAGTCCTAGAGGCTACTACTGTCCTAGTTGCAACTTTGGAAGTACTGTAGTAACTTGATGGATTAGTATTTCTGATCCTTATTGTTTTTCTTTTAATAGTATTAAGTCATACTGTTGATTAGTGTCGATTTTAAGAAAACACTAGGTGGTGGAATTGTTCAAAACCAGCATACTATGGCCTCCAAGAGCGCAAAACAGCTGATACAAAGTAGTATTTTATTCCAGCCCAGGTATACAGGCCTATGTTGCGCTTCTGCACCTAACCGTATATATTAGTGTAATTAAGTGATTCACAAATCATATACTGTACATTAGGCCTAGCTTTGTGAACTGAGGAACTTTAGTGAGTTCCAATAGAAGTCTATGAAATTAAAACATTCTGGTATCCTGAGCATGCAGCTGTGTCTGCCAAGCTCAGAGTCTAAAGCTGTGGTCGTCAACAACAGGCTGATCATGCTTGTCATGTCATATTTCATAACAGGCGTTAAGGTTCCATATCACATTCCTCTTTTTTAATATACAAAGATGCATGCTTTTAATTAAAGGCCTGAGATTTTTTCCATCAACCAAAAGACTTTGATCTGGTCGGTCAGAGGCACTTTTTTGTTTCAAGCCTAACAAGCACGCATATAAAAAAAGAGATATAATATTTCCTTACATTTATTTAAATTGAAGTGTGAAGGGTCATCCTTTCTCTTGTAAATAAATGGAAACTAGGTGAATGTAGCAAAATATAGTGTCAAGTAATATGTCATAACAGCTGACATAACTTGTCATAACCTGTCATAATGTGGTCATAACACTGTCATGACCCATATATTTACACCTGTTGTGACATATTGCGTTATTCAAATTTATTCAAATTAGTTTTTAACCTACCAAGAAGTTTCCTTTTGTTTGAAAGTTTGTTTCTTAAATCCTTTGTTGTTGTTATGAATTCTTTGCAGTCATGTTTTTTCATCATATTTTAAATAACTTGTAGAAAATACACTTTATGACAATGTCATGAAGCATTATGAGCATCCTGTGTCACTTTACTTGGACTAAGAAAATACACTTTATGACACTGTCAAGAACCATTATGATCATCCTGTGTCACTTTACTTGGACTAAAGAAATACACTTTATGACACTGTCAATGTACCATCATAATCATATAAGCCAGATAGGCCTATCATGTACATGCCCTTACAGTGAGGGAAAAAAGTATTTGATCCCCTGCTGATTTTGTATGTTTGCCCACTGACAAAGACATGATCAGTCTATAATTTTAATGGTAGGTTTATTTGAACAGTGAGAGACAGAATAACAACAAAAAAATCCAGAAAAACGCATGTCAAAAATGTTATAAATTGATTAGCATTTTAATGAGGGAAATAAGTATTTGACCCCTCTGCAAAACATTATTATTAAAAAAAAAGAAAAAACAGGAAAGCCAGTTGAGAACAAGTTCTCATTTACAACTGCGACCTGGCCAAGATAAAGCAAAGATATATGACATGACTTAGTACTTGGTGGCAAAACCCTTGTTGGTAATCACAGAGGTCAGACGTTTCTTGTAGTTAGCCACCAGGTTTGCACACATCTCAGGAGGGATTTTGTTCCACTCCTCTTTGCAGATCTTCTCCAAGTCATTAAGGTTTCATTTGGCAACTCGAATCTTCAGCTCCCTCCACAGATTTTCTATGGGATTAAGGTCTGGAGACTGGCTAGGCCACTCCAGGACCTTAATGTGCTTCTTCTTGAGTCACTCCTTTGTTGCCTTGGCCGTGTGTTTTGGGTCATTGTCATGCTGGAATACCCATCCACGACCCATTTTCAATGCCCTGGCTGAGGGAAGGAGGTTCTCACCCAAGATTTGACGGTACATGGCCCCGTTCATCGTCCCTTTGATGCGGTGATGTTGTCCTGTTCCCTTAGCAGAAAAACACCCCCAAACCATAATGTTTCCACCTCCATGTTTGACGGTGGGGATGGTGTTCTTGGGGTCATAGGCAGCATTCCTCCTCCTCCAAACACGGCGAGTTGAGTTGATGCCAAAGAGCTCAATTTTGGTCTCATCTGACCACAACACTTTCACCCAGTTCTCCTCTGAATCATTCAGATGTTCATTGGCAAACTTCAGACGGCCCTGTATATGTGCTTTCTTGAGCAGGGGGACCTTGCGGGCACTGCAGGATTTCAGTCCTTCACGGCGTAGTGTGTTACCAATTGTTTTCTTGGTGACTATGGTCCCAGCTGCCTTGAGATCATTGACTAGATCCTCCCGTGTAGTTCTGGGCTGATTCCTCACCGTTCTCATGATCATTGCAACTCCATGAGGTGAGATCTTGCATGGAGCCCCAGGCCGAGGGAGATTGACAGTTCTTTTGTGTTTCTTCCATTTGCGAATAATCGCACCAACTGTTGTCACCTTCTCACCAAGCTGCTTGGCGATGGTCTTGTAGCCCATTCCAGCCTTGTGTAGGTCTACAATCTTGTCCCTGACATCCTTGGAGAGCTCTTTGGTCTTGGCCATGGTGGAGAGTTTGGAATCTGATTGATTGATTGCTTCTGTGGACAGGTGTCTTTTATACAGGTAACAAGCTGAGATTAGGAGCACTCCCTTTAAGAGTGTGCTCCTAATCTCAGCTCGTTACCTGTATAAAAGACACCTGGGAGCCAGAAATCTTTCTGATTGAGAGGGGGTCCAATACTTATTTCCCTCATTAAAATGCAAATCAATTTATAACATTTTTGACATGCGTTTTTCTGGATTTTTGTTGTTGTTATTCTGTCTCTCACTGTTCAAATAAACCTACCATTAAAATGATAGACAGATCATTTCTTTGTCAGTGGGCAAACTTACAAAATCAGCAGGGGATAAAATACTTTTTTCCCTCACTGTATGTCAGTCATCAGTCAAAAAGAGGGTGTCTTGTCCTGCTCCTGAAATCTGCTCCTGCATCCATCCCAGTCATCAGCAGGTGCATGTCTGACATCAATGTGTGCGCAATTACAATGATCATTTTGATATTTGGCAACTCATTTTGATAAAAAATACATATATATACTGTAACATAAATATACTGTTGACATGTAGGCTAGGGTGTAATGGAATGTTTTGCCTTGTGTGGTAGGTTTTGTGGGTTTTTCCACTCTCATGTAGGTGTCATAACTAGCCATAAAATAACGCAATATACAGTACATTCGGAAAGTATTCAGACCCCTTGATTTTTTTCCACATTTTGTTACGTTACAGCCTTATTCTAAAATTGATTAAATAAATAAAAAATCTCATCAATCTACACACAATACCCCATAATGACAAAGCAAAAACATGTTTGTAGAAATGTTTGCTAATTTATATTTCAAAACCCCAGAAATACCCTATTTACATAAGTATTCAGACCCTTTGCTATGAGACTCGAAATTGAGCTCAGGTGCATCCTGTTTCCATTGATCATCCTGGAGGTGTTTCTACAACTTGATTGGAGTCCACCTGTGGTAAATTCAATTGATTGGACATGATTTGGAAAGGCACAAACCTGTCTATATAAGGTCCCACAGTTGACAGTGCATGTCAGAGCAAAAACCAACCCATGAGGTCGAAGGAATTGTCCGTAGAGCTCCGAGACAGGATTTTGTCGAGGCACAGATCT